CCTCTTCCTTCTTCCTAGTCTGTCTCAGTCTGTAAGCTGGGACGATACCTGGGCACCATGTGCATCCCACTGGGTTTGAAACACCAGTGGCTCAGCCTCAAAACTCACATCAACACATCACCATGGTAGGACAAACTGACAGACAAGTTTGCCTCCTTGTTGGAAACCTCTCGTACCACCCTTACCTGGGTCCCTGCGGCTGACTCCTCCTCTGTCTGGGTTCCTGGCTTTTTATCCCCTTCCTCCCACTCTCCCGCCCTGCTGCATTCGGCGTGCCTTGGAATTGCTGGGTGAAGATAAAAGAATGCTCCCCCCCCCCATTTTAGTGCACTCTCAGATTTTTAGGAAAGCTTTTTTTTTTTAAGTTTTAGAAACCGTTTCCACTGTTCTTCTCTAATAGTGGTTTTTCAGCATGCCTGTTTCCCCACATCCTGACCAGCACTTACTATCACCAGTGGCTAAAATGTTTGCCAGTTGGAGGTAGGGAGTGATACTGTGTTTTCACTCTTAGGTTTTAGGTTACAGGCAGTGGGGAGTGTTTTTCTCTGTTATTCTGTTTCTTCGTTGCATAGTTAAGATGTGTCTTTTCCACCTGCAGGAGGGCTGTTCCCCTTGTGAGAGTGAATCAGGTATTTGGGATGTATTCTTGAAAGTAATAAAAACCCCTCATGATTCAGTTGATTCTGACTCATAGCAAGCCTAGATGACAGAATGGAACTGCCCCCATTGGGATCTCTTAAGCTGCATAAATCGTTATGGAAGCAGACTGCTACATTCTTCTCCCGAAGAGCAGCCGGTGGGTGCAAACCACCATCCTTTCATTTAGCAGCCAAGCACTTACCCACTGTGCTAGGAGGGCTCCTCTGAAAGGATAATTAAAAGAAGAAAGAAAGAAAGAAAGAAACTCTTTGCCATTGAGTCGATTCTGACTCAGTGATTCTATAGGACAGAGTGGAATGGCCACGTAGAGTTTCCAAGGCTGTGATCTTTACAAGAACAGATTACCAGATCTTTTGCATAAGTGGAGAAGCTTGTGGGTTTGAACCACTGACCTTTCCGTTAGCAACTGAACACTTTTTTTTTTTTTTTAATTAGGATTTGGGTGAAGATTTACAGAGTAAATTCACTTTTCATACAGCAGTTCACATATACTTTGTCTCATGTCATTAACCAAAATTT